CCCCCCCGTCCCCCCCTCTCTACCTCCTCCAACCATAACTTAAATAAGTTACCTCCCCTGTTGTAAACAGCTGAAGTATTTTAAAAGAATTAGCTCTCGGCGTGTCACATAATGTGTATGTCGGACTTCGTATATATAGCTGAACACGGTCAGCCCGGATCATATTGCTGTATAAACTTTGATTGTTTCACTGACCTGCTGTTATGGTATAATCGTGTACGTTAACAATTATATTACTGTACTTATCCACATTTGTATTCAATTCAATTCAATTCAATTCCGAAGTTTATTCAAAACTTTCAGTTGTTTCAATAAAGAAATGTTTCTCAACCTGAACAAATCTTTGGTACGTCCATACCTTGAAATTAATGTTACTACGTGGTCAACCATATACTGAAAAAAGACCAAATCTCCATAGAAAATGGTCAAAGAAGGGGAACCAAACTAGTTCCATTTCTAAAAGATCTCTCGTACCCTGAACGTATTCGTCGAATATATACTTGAATATAGAAGACTAAGAGCTGATATGGTAGAAATATATCAGCTGATAAACACCATAGATACATTTGTATAACTAACCAACAAATCATCCCTGCCTTTGACAACCTTAAGACGAGGGGAATCTCGAAAAAACTGAAAAAATCGGTATAAGACATGCTTTTAAAAATAGAATTGTAAATATTTGGAAGCAACTCCCTAAAATTGTGGTAGATTTCCCAACATTAAATGTTTTTAAATCTAGACTCAATAAGCATGGGTTCAAACATACAATCAAGTTTTTATCAAATAATTGTACCTATCTTCAATTATTTGAAGATAGGTACAATTAATTGAGTAAATGTTAATTTGGCGTTCCATAGAGTTAGATATAATTCTGTGAATAAATGCATATGTCTTATAGTCATAACTTACAGTTAACAATATGTTAGATTATACTAAAAACGTATTATTATTAATTTTGCTTAATTGGAGGGGTGCGTTATTTTCGAGTTTCTCTGCACTTTTTGAGGAAGATGGTGACCCTGAAAAGAGCCGTTTAGGCTTAGTCTATGACAGATCAACGCAAAGAAAGTTTGTTGAATTATTATTTAATATAAGAAAAGTCTGAAGACGCTTAAAGATCTGTAACTCAGAGTTACATATCTTCTGATGTCGCTAACTTTATTATGTATTTTTAGAGATTTTGTCTGGCGACGCTTGTTGTCGGTTGAAGACGGTTGTTATCGGTTGAAGACGCTTTAGTAGGACCGGTAAACACCACTTCCGGGATTTCCGGGATTATTACTCGATTATTCAAGTAGCCACAGCAATGGAGAATGGTTATTTTGGGTCGAGAGATAATATGTGCCATAATCTTAACGTAGTATCGGCAATAATAACAGTTTTATTAACACTTACAGAATGTTCTGGACAAGGTGAGTCTTTTTTTCTTTTTTTATATTATTCAGGTTCTCACAACCTTTTTAGCAGACAACATCTTGATCATGGTTACACTAGGCGGTAGGCCTATGCTGCTGTCGGTCTATTGTCTTGTTCAGTTGACGATTCTTGAAGTTTTTCATAGCGTTAAAACTGTATATGTGTCGACATAAATATCTGTTTTATATACAGTATGATTGTGTACCATAGGCAGGTACTCAAATCAATTAAATAGTGTATTTTCATCATTTGATGAAAACTGAAAATGAAAGTGAAACTGCATGACGAATCACGAGAACGTTCATTGTTACGACTGTGCGTTGAGTGGAATTCCTACTGGAAAAACCATAATTCTCAAAACATGACTCAGTTTCAAGTAATATTCGAAGGATTTGATTTTTTAAATTTGCTACCAAACTTTCTTTTTATAGAACCTTTTTTTTTAATTTTTAAGACTCAAAATCAACTTTCTTAATTTACATCAGTTCATTATTTAAACATCTGATTATCTATGTTATGGAACATAAATATGCTCTAAACTAAGGTGATTAATATCCAAGTTTATTGAGGTCCTTTGTTTAAATCCTGGAGTCTTGACAGACCATTGGTAGTAATTAAATTTCCCTTTCTCGACATATTACCCACTACTGATAGTAGCCTGTCACCCCCATTACTTTACAATGGCTATACAGGTCTGTTGTCCTTTTCAAAAGTTTCATTTTTTAATTTGTAATTTAGTTACTGTAAATAATTTTTCAAGAAAAAAACCAGGTATAAAAGTACTTCAAATGATCCGTATTTGTAAAATGCAATAACATACTTGCCATCTTTTTGAAATTTCAGTGGGTGAGATTCTGCATGCTCAAAATTAGAAATTGAATAAAATGTGTCTATACACCCCCTAGAGACAAAATGACATATTTCGAGTTATTCTTTCAAATTAAATCATTAGATCTTAAAATATAGGAATAGTTTAGCAAATTCACTGGTTGAAAATGCTAAATTAAAGGGTCCAAAGTCGAGAGTATCCCTCCTAAATAGGGAGGGTTGGCAAGTATGCAATAGTTTAATATATTTTATGCACTGAATTTGGGAGACTTTGAAGGTATATGCTTTAATAAAAGATATGATTCCCATAGCTATGATTTTGAGGACAAGTCTGGTTAATGTTGCAAATATTATATAAGGAGGCAGGACCCAAATCTAATCAGTACCCAAATCAAGTCACTCTTTGTAAAAATGCTTTTGAATTAATTGATGTTTGAACAGTTATTACAATATTTTACCCTTACAATCCATAGTTATGAATCATTTTCAGTCTAAACAATTATAATTCATCCACTGAATTTTCAATGAACAAAGAAAGTGGTGGTTTGGTGATCTATTTTGGGTACTGTCACCTTATGCATTGAATCATATTCTTATGTGTTCATGTATGATAATTGATAGATTATATTTTGTTGCAATTCAGCAATACATTTACTGAATAAAATCAAAAGTTAATACAAATATGTTTTTTTCAGATATACATGTAGTGCAATATAATATCATTTTTTGGTGCAATTGCAATTTTTTTTCTTAATGTTCACCTCATGGAATTGCCTTAGACCCTTGGAAAATAAAATTTCTCATTGTCAAATAAAAACTATCAATTTAAATTGTTTAAACTCAAATGGAAGATCCTGTATCATTCTGCAGTAATATTAGTGTTACTATGGTCATATAGTATGGATTTCCCAATTTTCTCCATTTGCGGTACAGAATTTTTCAATTCAAATGGAAACTGTTTGAGTGCATTAAATGTTAAAATCAGTGAAAATCATGCATGATTTAAGTGAGCTTTTATTATCTGTTATGTTCATCTTCTTGTCCGGCACTGATGTTATTTATCCATGTTATTTGGCCAGTAGGTACCTGGGACAGCTTGCTATCAATTACCTCAAATAATGACCTTGACCCACTTTCAAGGGCACAGGGTTCAACTATGTAAACACTTTTAACAACTTCTTCTGAATAAACAGGAGGCCCAGAGTACTGGGCCCACTTGTATAAAACATCTCAATTAGATAGAGCTTATCAATTAAAATACGAAAGTAAAACAGTTTTCCAAACACAATGGTCTGTATAATATATATATATAATAAAAAGGGATTAAATGTCCATGTGAAGGAAGTAAATATAGAAAAAATAAGATTAACAACCGACTAAAAAACTAGCTGCTTTCACCCTTCACAGGGCTCTTCAGGTTTTGAAGAGCCCTGTGAAGGGTGAAAGCAGCTAGTTTTTTAGTCGGTCATTAATCTTATTTTTTCTATATATATATATATATATAGGATTAAAAATATTTTCTTTTCTCTTTTACTTTTCAGTTACAGAAACTGTGGATGTACAGTGGACAACATCAATCCGACTCAACGAGTTCCGTGGCTACCAAACAGTCAGTCTAACATCCTTCCAGGTGCCGCCGGCCACCATTGAGACCATCTGGGACATCCAGTGCTCCTCCATGCCGGGGCCCTGTCCAGTTCACACAGCACAAGTGTAAGTCTATAGCTACACATGTGCCTTTACATCATTACTAGAGTTCTACTCTCAAGATGTAAGGATGTAATCTTCCCTCTTTCACTTTTTTAATTCCCTTGGAAAAGTTCTAGATTTGATCTGTAACACCAGATCAGCTTATTTTTCAAGGGGGAGGGATGGGGTGCAAGGTGTTTTCTGTCTTTTTGATCTATTTTGTCTATTTGATCCAGTGCCTTAATTCTGGTTTCAGGAAAGCTTGAGTTTCAAAATGATTGAATTGAGAATATTTTTTTTTCTGAATTGTTAAAATCAAATACACCTAAGCTCAAGATCCCTGCAAAGAAGATTTAGAAAAATATCCAAGATAAAGAGGAATCCATTTAAAAATAGATCATGCTTTGGTTTTGCCCCACTTTATACAGTTATGGCACTTTGTTTATTTTAAATACTGAAGTTTGTCCACAGCATAACTTCTAAACCGTTAAAGATATCTTAATTAAACTTGAAGTATACCTGCATCAACCACAGAAGGTGTGCAGTGCACTGGAATTAGGTCTTGTGCCCCACTATATATAGAGTTATGGCCCTTTGTTTACTTTTAATACCAAAGTTTGTCCACAGCATAACTTCTAAACCGTTAAAGATATCTTAATTAAACCTGAAGTATACCTGCATCAACTACAGAAGGTGTGCAGTGCACTGGAATATACAGAGTTATGTCCCTTTGTTTATTTTTAATACTGAAGTTTGCCCGGAGCATAAGTTCCATGTTATTTCACCTACATTGACCAAGCTTACAACATTTATGTATCTTAGGAAGGCAGAATCTCTCGCATTGAAATCGGGTCTTGTGCCCCACTATATATAGAGTTATGGCCCTTTGTTTACTTTTAATACCAAAGTTTGTCCACAGCATAACTTCCATGTTATTTCATAATAATATAATAAAATAAGGCATTTTTTTAGCTATGGGAAAAAGCCTGAATTTGGCAATAAAACTGAGCAAAAAAAATCATCACTGAATGATAAAAAGAAAAGTAGATGTAAAGCTGATATTATTATACATGTATCAGGTTTCATTTACAGTTTTGTATATCAATGCTCTATACACATGACAGATGCCAATGAGTAATGACATTACCACAGCAAACATATCATATATATATATGCATGTTATACATTCCTGGATCTGGTTCAGGCAGGTTTACACAAATTGAAATACTGTTATACAGTGCGTCTGCTGAACTGCTGTTAGAGTGTCTGTGATTGCTAATTGTCATGGATAGACTGTACCAGTCACGTGACTTAAAAATAAATAAAAAAAAGTATACTGAATGTTCCCTGTAATACTGTGTATTTTATGTACATTAACAAGGAAATAAGTATGTAAACCAGGCCATAGGCTAAACTCTAGTAATGATCATGATGTTTAATGGTTTGTCATTTTCCTTATCAGTGATGATACTGATCTCTAAATCTGTGATTGGCGATCTATTGTCACAGGCAATCTCTTGTAGCAGGTGATCTTTTAAAATTGTTACAGGTGATATTTTGTAGCAGGTGATCTCTTCTTACAAGTGGTATTTTGAAGGAGGTGATCTTTTATTATGGGTGGTATTTTGAAGGAGGTGATCTTTTATTACGGGTGGTATTTTGTAGCAGGTCTTATTACAAGTGGTCTATTGTAGTAGGTGGTCTATCATCACAGGTTTTCTGTATAAGCTGATGGTAATTATTACACGTTGTCTCTCATAATGGAGGATCTCTTTTTACATGTGGATTTTAGCTCACCTGGCCAGAAGGGTCAAGTAAGCTTATGATATGGTGTGATGTCCGTCGTCCGTCAACTTTTACATTGAAGTCTTCTTTTTAAGAACTGGAGGACCTAGGGCCATGATATTTTAAAACATTATAAAACAGGGAGGCCCAGATTACTGATACCAGTACCTGGCCAGTAGGTACCTTAGACAGAGTGATATTAAGTTTCCTCAAATTAATTACCTTGACCTAACTTCGAGATCATAGGAGTAAAAAGTGTTCAACACCTTTAAACATTTTCTTCTGAATAACCAGGAGGCCCAGAGTAATGATACTTAGTCAGTAGGTACCTGGGACAGAGTGCTATGAACTGTCATCAAATAAATGACATTGACCTACTTTCGAGGTCACATGGTTCAAAATTGTAAAAACCTTTAAACAACTTCTTTTGAATAATTAAGAGGCCTAGAGCCATGTTATTTGGCCAGTAGGTACCTAGGACAGATTGCTATTAATTACCTCAAATAATGACCTTGACCCACTTTCAAGGGCACAGGATTCAACTATGTAAAAACTTTTAACAACTTCTGAATAAACAGGAGGCCCAGAGTACTGATACTTGGCCAGTAGGTACATGGGACAGAGTGCTATAAAGGGTCTTCAAATTAATGACCTATTTTTAAGGTCACCTGGGTCAAACATGTAAAAAAAACCTTTAAGGACTTTCCACCCTTGTATACCTTTGAAAGTATGGCCAATACATATTCAGCATATAACTGCTACCATCCATTATGGGAAGAATGACTATAACATAAGTTACACCCATTTCTGCACCCCTACCCCCAGAATCTGTAAATGCATTCTGTATAACAATATACATAACAAAGTGGCTACCATTTTTTCCACTCACTGAATTACAAGGAAATATGACTACAAAATATTGATATGTTACCCATGGCACAGATAGAACAATTTATTTGATCAATTTCTGTATTTGTGTTGAAAGGACTATAAACAATAAAGAGTGAATTGGAAAAACAATACTTTTTGCTGTTATTTGACCTTTGACCTTGACTTGACCTTTAAAATGTAGGTCAAACTGTTAACTGTATATATGTACCAACATTTTAAGTGATGCATACATGATCTATATATGAAGATGATGAGAAATGATATAGCTCTTTCTGTACCCCTTCCCCCTTTTTTTCGAAAATGTCTTTTTTTTGCCGAGGTAGATTGTATATGACCAGACACAAAAAAACCCAGTGGATTTCTCAGAGGGGTGGGGTGGCCAGCTAAAACATGCTCTAGAAGGTTTATACTGATGAAAAAATGAGGTCACCTTTAGACAGCAGGGGGGTGCTCACTTAACCCCTCTGGCCCCTGGGGTATAGTGACATAACCATTATGTGAAACTTACATTGAATTATGCTGGTTAATTGCGAAAGGGTTGAGCCTCCTTAAACAACTTCTTCAGAATAACTAGGAGGCCCGGAGTAATACTACTTGTCACTTCTTGATACAGTCTAGCTCCACTGATTTTTTACACTCAGAACAACGCTTTAGCTTATTTCATCTTGATAACTGGTTTCTTTATGAAAATCCTGTAAGGTAAACTTTTCTATTCAGAAATGATCAAAAATTTATCAAAGTTATAATTGTACTGGGAAAATAAGTTTTGAATGCATAGTTTCAGTATTTCGGTAGTCCTTAACTAGGACACAAGTTAACAGTCAATTGTGATATGATCATGCTAAGCTGGATAGAAGCTCTTTTGATACTTAATATGTTACCAGGTCTTCAGTAAATTAATGTATTGATATAGATACACCCCTTGTAGCTTGCATTTAGGAAATTCTTGACTAAAGATGACTTGAAGCAAATACAGGGGTCCACTGTATCTTGTAGGTCAGTGAGTGATCAATCTTGTTTCACAGAAACTATAACCTTATCCACAGAAGAAGGGCTCATCGGAATCAATATTTTCTAGCAGCAAAATTAAATGGGTCACGCTAGACTTCCATTTAGGAATGAGGATTGTGTATTGATTATGGTCTATGTATATCCTCCATGTGTTTTTATTGTTCTCGAGGGCCATTACGATGAGACATCATGATTCAACATGCCACACATTGAAAGTGTAACACATAAGTCCCGTTACACGGAGTATAGCTAGCATTATGATATAAGTCAGGTGGCCATTGAACCAGCCGCGCAAAATCATTTCCGCCTTTTAATGTCTGCTTGAGTTGGTTACAAACTACAACCAGTACTATATATATATACAGGTGATGAACCCTTGCTTTGCAATAACAGCATATTCAGAATAAAGCACATCCCATTGTTTTGAGATATGGGTAAGATTGAGGGTTATACACATGTTTTGCAACAGCCCTGTTAATGATTGATTAATGTTGATATCTTTATATAGACAAGACCTGGTAGAAGTTGGAACAGTGCCTGATTCTGGGTTTTTTCTTACACAAATGACCCCTAAATTTTGCATAACTCATCATGGAATTTCATTATTGTATTATTATTTTTTAAACTATTTGAAATTACTGTGTTTGTTTCATATGAAGAATTAACTCATTCAGCCCTGAAATTTTATAATGAACTATTCCAACCATCGAATTGAACAAGTTCAAATGTGTCGTCAGGGGTGAATGAGTTAAAAGTACATACACAATTTTATAAGCAAAATACTTTGAAGGATTCCTCCGTATATTATAGAACGATCGTCGTAAATTGATTTTGATGTGTGATAGGTATACAATTATATAGGTAATAAAAATATGATGCCAGGAATAATTTGAACCAGCCAAATTAGCAGTTGAAGCGGTCAAAACGGCCGGCAGTCGGTTCTTAATTAAACCCCTGAATATACGGAGGAAGATCCGCCATTTTGGCTTGTTGAGTGCTGAAACTAATTTTTTTGAAGAGTTCCAACAAGGGAGAGTACAGAATGAAAAGTATCGCAGGTATCATGATACAAACCTGTCTCATCGTTGCATTGTATCACGGCCCTTGTGATCCAATACATTGATACATCGTTGCATTGTATCACGGCCCTTGTGATCCAATACATTGATGCATTGTTGCATTGTATCACGGCCCTTGTGATCCAATACATTGATGCATCGGTGCATTGAATCACGGCCCTTGTGATCCAATACATTGATGCATCGGTGAATCTTTACACCCCTAATTATATATGACAATGGAACTCAAAATGGCAAATGCTTTGTAGGGAAAATAAGTAGGGTTTCATGATCATTTTACCTCCATACGGGGATATATAACCACCTTAAATGTCTTTTGACCCTGTTAATGTTAGATGCTTGCTATATAAAGGGGTCAGGATTTGCAATTTATGCCTGATTTTACCCACAACTTTTATGTCTTGTAAAAACACTGATAAGGTTTTGGAATATGTAACCAGAGACTAAATTGTCTCTTCGACTAACCATAGGTACCTATTGTGAATGAGAAAAAGTACTTATGTGCACATAATTAATTAACAAGTAATTTATACATTAGTATTTTTCTTTGCATTTGCAATAGGTATCTATGGTTGAACTTAGTTCTTTTGTAAATGTTGATAATGCCTCTCCCTACTGAAAGAGTTCAAATGAAAAAATGTCAGATATACCATTTACCTGGTGGTAGATATGTAAGATATACCATTTACCGGATGGTAGATATGTAAGATATACCATTTACCGGGTGGTAGATATGTGAGATATACCATTTACCGGGTGGTAGATATGTAAGATATACCATTTACCTGGTGGTAGATATGTAAGATATACCATTTACCGGGTGGTAGATATGTGAGATATACCATTTACCGGGTGGTAGATAAGACTTGATTAATTAATCATTGATTCATTTGAAATTGCATCAGATTTCATGCATTGATTATGCTCAAATACTGTAATTATTACTTAATGCCAATAGAAATTTTACAAGGGAGATAGTTTCAACCCATAATACCAATATACCTGGTAATCTGTAAGGTATAATATTGCCTTAAATCAACATGTTGATGAGATATCTTTTCCTTACAGATACTTCCAGCATGGTAGCTATCCACTTGTAAGTCCATACAATGCTTCTTACCCAGCCGACTTCTATTTGCATCGGTCTGACCTTCATTTTGTTGAGGTCAGAACCAACAATCTCTCTCACCCACATCATGTGATCAGTCCCAAACCGGGGAGGTGGTTTGTCACAGCCTTCCTACCAAAGACAGAGGAAAAAATCACACAAAAGGTGAGACACTATAGTTACAAGCTTTAATCTGGTTCATGGAAATGTTTATACTCAATAAAAGTTGAAGATGATGAAATCTAAAAGAACACAGAAAGTTTCTTATTGTTATTGTATAGCTTATATATAAACACCTTGGTTGGAAAAGCATTGCAATGACATCCTTTCTACCCAAAGACAGAGGAAAAATTACACAAAAGGTGAGACAGTAAAGTTACAAGCTTGAATCTGGTTCATGATAATGCTTATCATAGCTGTCAACCTCCCTCATTATTTACCAATCTCCCTCCAAACTCCTTCATTCAAGGCCAAACTCACACAAACACAAAATCTACATTCTGTGGCCAAATGATCTCCTAGTAACTGCAGGGTGTGTGTAATGATCATAACAGGTGTGTCTGAATCAAATGAATGCTTTTTAGAGTTATTTTGATACATAAAAAGGGAAAGAGAAATTGAGCAAACAGTTTCAGTCGAATTCACACACTTTCTTCCTCATTGGAAATGTGGAATGAGGGAGATCTCCGTCATTGGTAATGTGGAATGAGGGAGATCTCCCTCATTGGTAATGTGGAATGAGGGAGATCTCCCTCATTGGAGGTTTCAGGGGTTGACACTTGAGACGTTTATACTCAAGAAAAGTCACCATGAAGATGATGAAACCGAAAGGGACAGAAACTGTTTCTTATTGTTTTTGTAGGTGAAAAAGCATTGCAATATGCAATTTGAACTACATACAATACATCAAGTTTGGTGAATCACATGAAACTTTGAAGATTTTTTTATTTTACAGAAAGTTTATTTATTGTTGCAGGGATTAAACGGAAAAACGTGTGGATATGGTATGGGCATTCGTTTTATTAACCGTGTTCTGGGCAACATTGAGGACGTGTCAATGACTAAACACTCCAAAATATCTTTACGGGCACCGAGCTTGATGACCATAGTAAGGTGAGTCAGACGGAAGGGGCTGCATAAAACTGGTTTTAGTTACGGAACCTGGAACAGGTTGTGGCCAAATTTTACATTAAATGTGTATTGCAGTGAGGATAACAAAAATGCTTTGTACAGTTGTAACCAAGAATAAATATTACAGTGAGATTAGAAAAGTGTGAACAAAACTAAAAGATATAACTAAGAGAATGAAGAAAGTGCTTAAGTGTGGTTAAATCCAAGATTACCCATGTTGCTGAGTCTGAAGAAAGGTACTTTAAGTGCACTTATATACCAAAGATTTAGCTTGTAAGTTAGTTATTTGATGAATAAATAGATATTAATGCATACTACCAAAATATTTTAATTCATTACAAAAAGGTGTAAAGAAAGCTTCTTTGTGACTATTACAGACAGTATATATGTGTCCTTAGGAAAGCTTCTCTGTGACTATTACAGACAGTGTATATGTGTCCTTAGGAAAGCTTCTCTGTGACTATTACAGACAGTGTATATGTGTCCTTAGGAAAGCTTCTCTGTGACTATTACAGACAGTGTATATGTGTCCTTAGGAAAGCTTCTCTGTGACTATTACAGACAGTGTATATGTGTCCTTAGGAAAGCTTCTCTGTGACTATTACAGACAGTGTATATGTGTCCTTAGGAAAGCTTCTCTGTGACTATTACAGACAGTGTATATGTGTCCTTAGGAAAGCTTCTCTGTGACTATTACAGACAGTGTATATGTGTCCTTAGGAAAGCTTCTCTGTGACTATTACAGACAGTGTATATGTGTCCTTAGGAAAGCTTCTCTGTGACTATTACAGACAGTGTATATGTGTCCTTAGGAAAGCTTCTCTGTGACTATTACAGACAGTGTATATGTGTCCTTAGGAAAGCTTCTCTGTGACTATTACAGACAGTGTATATGTGTCCTTAGGAAAGCTTCTCTGTGACTATTACAGACAGTGTATATGTGTCCTTAGGAAAGCTTCTCTGTGACTATTACAGACAGTGTATATGTGTCCTTAGGAAAGCTTCTCTGTGACTATTACAGACAGTGTATATGTGTCCTTAGGAAAGCTTCTCTGTGACTATTACAGACAGTGTATATGTGTCCTTAGGAAAGCTTCTCTGTGACTATTACAGACAGTGTATATGTGTCCTTAGGAAAGCTTCTCTGTGACTATTACAGACAGTGTATATGTGTCCTTAGGAAAGCTTCTCTGTGACTATTACAGACAGTGTATATGTGTCCTTAGGAAAGCTTCTCTGTGACTATTACAGACAGTGTATATGTGTCCTTAGGAAAGCTTCTCTGTGACTATTACAGACAGTGTATATGTGTCCTTAGGAAAGCTTCTCTGTGACTATTACAGACAGTGTATATGTGTCCTTAGGAAAGCTTCTCTGTGACTATTACAGACAGTGTATATGTGTCCTTAGGAAAGCTTCTCTGTGACTATTACAGACAGTGTATATGTGTCCTTAGGAAAGCTTCTCTGTGACTATTACAGACAGTGTATATGTGTCCTTAGGAAAGCTTCTCTGTGACTATTACAGACAGTGTATATGTGTCCTTAGGAAAGCTTCTCTGTGACTATTACAGACAGTGTATATGTGTCCTTAGGAAAGCTTCTCTGTGACTATTACAGACAGTGTATATGTGTCCTTAGGAAAGCTTCTCTGTGACTATTACAGACAGTGTATATGTGTCCTTAGGAAAGCTTCTCTGTGACTATTACAGACAGTGTATATGTGTCCTTAGGAAAGCTTCTCTGTGACTATTACAGACAGTGTATATGTGTCCTTAGGAAAGCTTCTCTGTGACTATTACAGACAGTGTATATGTGTCCTTAGGAAAGCTTCTCTGTGACTATTACAGACAGTGTATATGTGTCCTTAGGAAAGCTTCTCTGTGACTATTACAGACAGTGTATATGTGTCCTTAGGAAAGCTTCTCTGTGACTATTACAGACAGTGTATATGTGTCCTTAGGAAAGCTTCTCTGTGACTATTACAGACAGTGTATATGTGTCCTTAGGAAAGCTTCTCTGTGACTATTACAGACAGTGTATATGTGTCCTTAGGAAAGCTTCTCTGTGACTATTACAGACAGTGTATATGTGTCCTTAGGAAAGCTTCTCTGTGACTATTACAGACAGTGTATATGTGTCCTTAGGAAAGCTTCTCTGTGACTATTACAGACAGTGTATATGTGTCCTTAGGAAAGCTTCTCTGTGACTATTACAGACAGTGTATATGTGTCCTTAGGAAAGCTTCTCTGTGACTATTACAGACAGTGTATATGTGTCCTTAGGAAAGCTTCTCTGTGACTATTACAGACAGTGTATATGTGTCCTTAGGAAAGCTTCTCTGTGACTATTACAGACAGTGTATATGTGTCCTTAGGAAAGCTTCTCTGTGACTATTACAGACAGTGTATATGTGTCCTTAGGAAAGCTTCTCTGTGACTATTACAGACAGTGTATATGTGTCCTTAGGAAAGCTTCTCTGTGACTATTACAGACAGTGTATATGTGTCCTTAGGAAAGCTTCTCTGTGACTATTACAGACAGTGTATATGTGTCCTTAGGAAAGCTTCTCTGTGACTATTACAGACAGTGTATATGTGTCCTTAGGAAAGCTTCTCTGTGACTATTACAGACAGTGTATATGTGTCCTTAGGAAAGCTTCTCTGTGACTATTACAGACAGTGTATATGTGTCCTTAGGAAAGCTTCTCTGTGACTATTACAGACAGTGTATATGTGTCCTTAGGAAAGCTTCTCTGTGACTATTACAGACAGTGTATATGTGTCCTTAGGAAAGCTTCTCTGTGACTATTACAGACAGTGTATATGTGTCCTTAGGAAAGCTTCTCTGTGACTATTACAGACAGTGTATATGTGTCCTTAGGAAAGCTTCTCTGTGACTATTACAGACAGTGTATATGTGTCCTTAGGAAAGCTTCTCTGTGACTATTACAGACAGTGTATATGTGTCCTTAGGAAAGCTTCTCTGTGACTATTACAGACAGTGTATATGTGTCCTTAGGAAAGCTTCTCTGTGACTATTACAGACAGTGTATATGTGTCCTTAGGAAAGCTTCTCTGTGACTATTACAGACAGTGTATATGTGTCCTTAGGAAAGCTTCTCTGTGACTATTACAGACAGTGTATATGTGTCCTTAGGAAAGCTTCTCCCTGACTATTACAGACAGTGTATATGTGTCCTCAAGAAAGCTTCTTTGTGACTATTACGGACAGTGTGTCCGTAATAGTCACAAAGACTTCAAAATTATTGGGAGTAGTGCCATTACATGATTTGAATATATAATGTACCACGAAGAAATTCGAGTATACAAGGCTTAATTAACACAAAATCATTGTCTTAATCATACAAAAACAACAAAGCAACTTATCTGTATGCAGGTTGCAAGCATTATGAGCAAGAGACATGTTTTTGTGGATAAAAGTCTTCCAAAATCAATGTTTCAGAATGGCAATATGAACGAACTGACCTTGACAGAAAGATTTGATATGAAAAAAAAATATTAATTTGAAAAACGATTTTACCTCTCTGTTACAACTCATAAATGTATTTTTAAGTGTTTTCATAATTTGCTACTTCAGTACAGACTATAGATATAATGGATTTGGTACAAGCAACATGTTTCGTTTTACATTGAAATCTGCAAAATACACAACCGTTTAAAAAATGAAAGCATGGTGTTCTTTCAGCAACAGAACGATGTTTTGTTTTAAGTTAAGCCATCTAGATATCTTGATATTTTGGTATGTTTACATCATATTCCATAATCATGTGTTATAATATTGCTTATGTCAGAGACAAAAACTGACATACACTTTTTTTGAGATGGAGACAAAATTAGGGAGGCCCTGGGCTTAACGCCAGGCACCCACCCTGTTCCCAGGACATTTATCAAAGGGGGGAGGGGGCTTATTTGCGAGAGGGGGCTTATTGCCGGTAAAATACGGTAGACACATTATATTTCCCGTGTTTTTTCTGTCTCGCCCTGTCCCGATTCAGAGTCATTGCTCTAGCTACAAACCTGAACAGATCTTGCTCAAACTTTTCATAGAATATTTTTTCTGAATTATTTAACTGTTGCTGTTTTTGGGGTTAGTTCAAAATAAAAATGATTGTAATTGTCTCCATCTTGGAAACATATTTTTGACTTAGACTCAAGATCTATGTTGCCAATTTTTCTGAAACTTTGTAGGGATGGGTAATGCATGGTTGCGGTTAAGTGACATAATTTATTCAGAAATCCATGATATACAACTATAATGATCTTGAAAATCTAATCACTACTTGAAAAAAACCCATTTGCTGGTCAAGAGGTGAAAGGTCACACTGGACCATACAGTGAAAGGTTTGGATAGGATAGCTATAGGATAACCACTCTACAGATTTAGATTGCATTTACTCTGTATATATATATATCGTGTGGTAAAATCGAGTCTACAAGAATTAAACCATTAGGAATTGTAAAAAGATATTGATAGATATGGACAAAACAAATAATACACTAGCTCAAAATTTACATCAAAGAGCAGAATATATGAGAAATAAGATTACCATAGAAATAAAAAAAAATCACAAAATCACTAGGATGGGATCAACTTCATCGGGTGTATAGGTCAGGGGCAGACATAGAAACGTGTGCTGTGTATAAATATCACATACTTAAGGTAGATAGTCCCACTGTAATTTCTGTCGTAGACTTTAAAGAGTTATGTTACTGTTCAATTTTCCTCTCTGACCATAATCTTTATAATCTTGAACTGTTGGGATTATGGAGACCTTTTTTGCAAAAAAATGTATTTAAAATAATTGCATTTCTTTTGCTACTATTGCAATATTAAATGGGCAAGAAACTCAAAACATATCACTCTTGGAGATGCAACACAAAGTGCTGGGACTCTCTGCCTTAAAACTAAATTGTTGTAACACAACTTTGTTCAGTTTAACTGATGTTTATAATGATGTATTGTGATATGCTAATTAACATACATAATAGAATGTTGCAGCATTGAAACGATATTTATATGAGGATTTAATTAATATTATGAAAAAATGAATAGTATTTTTGCATGCTAATAATTCCATGATGATAAAACAAAGGGGTAGGGGGGAGTAAGATAGCATCATATCCATATGTCCTTCAGTCCATCAGTCCATCCCAATCTCTGGCCTGTACCATTACTTCTGAAGGGGGGATGCAGGTTAAATTAGCATCATATCTATCTGTCCATCAGTCCATCCCCTACTCTGGTCGTTACCATTACTTCTGAAGGGGGGATGCAGGTTATCATCATATCTATCTGTCCATCAGTCCATCCCCTACTCTGGACTGTACCATTACTTCTGAAGGGGGGATGCAGGTTATCATCATATCTATCTGTCCATCAGTCCATCCCCTACTCTGGTCTTTACCATTACTTCTGAAGGGGGGATGCAGGTTATCATCATATCTATCTGTCCATCAGTCCATCCCCTACTCTGGCTTGTACCATTACTTCTGAAGGGGGGATGCAGGTTATCATCATATCTATCTGTTCATCAGTCCATCCCAAACTCTGGTCTGTACCATTACTTCTGAAGGGGGGATGCAGGTTATCATCATATTTATCTGTCCATTAGTCCATCCAAAACTCTGGTCTGTATCATTACTTCTGAAGGGGGGATGCAGGATAGCATCATAACCATCTGTACCCATCACAGACATTTAACGAGACTTATGAAAGCCCACCATGATTAACGAGCTTGTTCATACCCATATCTGAATTGGTTGCTAAGATGACATGATATTAACAAAGTTGGGCAACAGTTTTGAATTTATTAATTTTCATCTCTCTCGAGAAATCATCTTTAGAGCTTGTTTACCATTAGAATTTCTTTTAACTCATTCACCCCTGAAAGATCATAATGAACTATTCCAACCTTTGAATTGGAAGAGTTCAAATGTGTCTTCAGGGGTGAATGGGTTAATGACTGTATTATTGACCTAAAATATTTGTACAATATCAATATTTGTGAAAATGTCATGCTACCAGGTTTTTGGTTGATAACATGTTGATACATATGGTGTGTTTTTTATGTTGTCTTATGTAACTTGTCAATAAAAACATATAAATTTTGTTGAACCAAATAATACAGACCATTTTGAAAGTATTTCTATAAATATGCTATGATTGTTCATTTCAAGTTGATTTATATGATATTCAGAATTTTTAAAATTTCTGTGCTCAAGTTTAATTTTTCCATGTAAAAGCAGTCAATATCGATATCAGATCCTTGCTAATGAGTTTCCATACCTGTACAGGTTGAACTACACACCGTCTCTGCAAGCATCAAAAGGACCTTATTTTCTAGGTTGCAGAGTACAAGGAAGAGACACACTAAGGTTTTCATTCCACAATTTCCAAATCTAATATTGTTTTACAAATTCAAAATATTTTTGTTTTACTGAAACTTACATTTTCTAGATTCTAGAAATCAGCATGCCACTTAACTAAAATAAAAATATCTTGATAATTTTACAGCATACTACACATAATGTATATGAATTAGGCTGTGACATCTTAAATAATATTTAAAGAATATAATTCTAATGTACTCTAATAAACCCAACAGAATAGGCCTGATCTACCATCAGTTCAATATTTCTTAAAACTTTTTTTATATCTATATAATACTTCTAACAATAACTGGTAAATAATCACTTTGTTTAACCTTTTTTGTTTTTTGTCAATTTCAATTTTTATAAATTCTTCTAATTTTTAATGAACAAACACTTTCGATAGGAACATTATCAAAATAATCAAAAATCTGAGAAATTGATTAATAATCTAACAAAATCTCCTCTAATTTGGAAAAAAAAAATCTATAATTTAAAATTTACGATACAGACCAAACCTATAGATTAGATCTTATAAAACATTGAATTGTATAATGTAACTCCTAACTAGCAACTTACATTTTTGTAATAACATTTTTTTTTTTTTTTTTTTTCAATTGTTTCTTTCAATTTACGGTACGTACTGAATTTTACATGAATACATTTCTGTGTATTCACTTTTTGAGAATGGGTAAAATTCTGTGTTTCTATTGTAATATTGTTACACAAGATTATCACGTACTGTAAAATGCCTGTTTACATTATTTGTAGTTATTAAAACATTCATCCCTTAAGACACATTTGAACTCTTCCAATTGAAAGGACGGAATAGTTCATTAAGAAATTTCAGGGATGGATGAGTTAATTTGATTTCATTATGTTAAAGACTTATTGTATATGATAAAATGTTAAAGACTCATGGTTTGTAACTTAATGATACGAGTGCATGTTACCAAAACTTGTTGTTGATTCATATAATTAATCACCAAAATGTTTGGCACTCTCTGCTGTTATACATTACAGACATTGTATGTGTGTCCTTAGGAAAGCTTTTTTGTGACTATTACGGACAGTGTAAATGTGTCATTTTCCATATTTATATATCTCCCACCCCCTTCTCCCTTCCTTTTCCCAAGGCCAATCTAACGAATATAATGTTTTCCACTCCAATCCTGAAAGGTTTGTCTCCCAAAATTGTGAAATGAATGTTTTAACTTTCCAGGTTCCTTCCACCAGAGACAACAACAGGTTACACTCTCTACATTAGTCATTGTGTGGTAGACAATGTTAGCGTCACTGTGTGTCCTCTCAAGGTCACCGTGTCCTCAGAACACATCCCAAATTCAGCCTCTGACCCCTCGGAGGACTGTCGGGACCAGAGCTCGGATTGCCACATTACTGTTGAGCGACTGGTGACCACCCAGTACAACTATGTGCAGGTGGAGGTGCCAGAAAACGTCACGGCTTCACTGGTGGAGTTCTACGTCAATTTTTCACTACTTCGTAAGGCTATGAACCTGGAGACATCGCGCTTTGTTAGAGTCATGATACATCAAGTTTAACTTGTAAATTGAATTCTTGAAAAATATAAATGAGTTTTGTATACAATATCTCAAGGTGATTTATTGTTAATCCAAGGACATACACATTTGCTTTCAGTTTATATTAAAATATCACCGATTCAATTTTTACTTGATGTTATTTTAAGCTGAGTTCAAGAACTTTGGATGTTAAAATTCATCGACCATAATAATACCTTCTTTTGGTACCATTGTCTAATATACATTAATGTACTATTCATGATTTCAGCTATTCCCTCCCAATGTCCATAACACTAGATAAGATTTTGGGCACTCTTCCTCACTGTCTAGTATTGTATAGTAATGGTATTTTTTTTAACTGAATGGCCTTGAAAAGGAAAACATATTCATCAATTTTGATAATTACAAATGAACAAATAATGTAAAATGTTCAAAATTTTACAAAGAAGTGGCCAGTTATATTCATGAAAAAGTTAAGGCACAATTTTATCAATTAAATGTTGCTTATATTCTAGAGTTCACCATGGACACCAGCCATGCATCAGAATAACACATTCATGTATTTTACTAACTTCAATTTCTTAACTGTTCAAATTTTCAGGGTGTCAGTTGAGATACAGACTGGAGGACACAATGAAACAACGAAGGGGAGTTCTTCACACCCCCGATTCCATCAAACATTTGACCAGCGCAAAAAACAATAACATCACCGATGATATGGACGGTGTGCTTCGGTTTATATCTGTGAAATCGAATGAATCGGAGAGTCTCCTGAACTACTCCATAGCCGCTGACAACAACCTAACCCGGTCTTTACGCGCCCACGAGGCTTGTCTATTCCTGCCATCACTTGGCACCCTTCGCTTGGCCTCCGAGGACTTTGCCACGCTATTTGTGTTTCCTGATGCCCTGCTGTACCCGCAGCCCAACAATAGGTTATTTATCCCGGACAACATTGTCTTGCTGACTCACTATAACATCTTCTCCACGAAGGACTCTGGGGCCACCCTCAAGGTCGAGCTACAGATGGTGAAAGGTCAGACAGTAAGTACTCTACACCTATTTGATGTTACATCGTTGGTTTAAACAATATATATTTCATATATCATATATGATAAGTACACAGGTCAATAATAATAATAATAATTGGAGGTTCTTATATACCGCTTTATCACAACCTAGTTCGTAGGTTGTTTCAAAGCGGTTCACAAATTATTATCCGTGGTAATAGGGATTTTGCAACCAGCCAATACCTTCCTCAACTCCCTGGGGAGCATACAGCTTGAGCTGCCATTTCGGCGCTAACAGCTAGTATTCAACAATTCTAGCACTGCCCAACCACATACTCATTTACAGCTGAGTAGACTGGAACATGCTCAAAGATACAACACAGTGCCATGCCGTGACTCGAACCCGCAACCCTTCCGTCACAAGCCCAGCATCTGACCACTAGACTACCGTGTCTCCATAATAGAAATATAATAGGATCTGGCAACAAGATTCTAAATCTTATATAAAGCCATCTCACTTGAAATTACATTAAAGAAGTACTACAACATACATTAATGAATTGTTACATCATTACAGTGGAATTTTGTCAGTCAGAGGCTCAGAGCATATTCTTTGAATGATCATACAAATTATCAATCAATTGTCATAAGTTGGCTCATCAGTCAGTAATTAATCATATAATTATACAGGGGAAAAAATCTGCCTTTACTTCCTGAGAACTCAAGATTATACAAAAATATTTTATACTTATATGTTTGCCAGCTGGCAAAAAGTTATCCTTTAAAACTTCTGTTGTAGAAAATTAATTTCCTTAGGATCTCTAGTGTTTTTACAAATATGTTTTACTGAGATAGGTTAGACCTATTGTAAGTCATGAATTAAAAAAAAAAAAATCTGCATTGTGTATCATCAAATGTGCAAGATTAACACTATTTGAAATCATTCTAAATGAGCAATTTTAATGATTTGTAGAAAGTTTATGTGTTGTACGATATTAACATGCCAGTACAAATTGTTGATGGTGCATAGAGGTCACTCAGTAATTTGTTGTTGTTTGTTGGGGATTTTACACAGGAGGCGAGTCAGTAATGTTTTGTTGTATAAATAAAGAATACCTGTCAATAATGTTTTGTTGTATAAATATAGAATACCTATCAATAATGTTTTGTTGTATAAATATAGAATACCTGTCAATAATGTTTTGTTGTATAAATATAGAATACCTGTCAATAATGTTTTGTTGTATAAATACAGAATACCTGTCAATAATGTTTTGTTGTATAAATACAGAATACCTGTCAGTAATGTTTTGTTCCACACTAACAGGACCCCAGTCAGGATGCTGTAGTGTGGGTGTGCATGATGAAGAACGTGATTCCGGGGAAACACCTGATTGATGAGTGTGATGGCGGGATCAAGCTGACTGTCAACTCGTCCGTGCTCGGTCCAACAATGACAGACAAACTGTATGTGCCCTACCCTGAGGAGGGTCGCTGGTACTTCGGTCTTCACAGCATATGTTTTAACAAGAACAGGTCAGTAATGCAAGATGTATATCAGCTTCACTTCAGCAATCCATTTGTAGCAATTTTAGATTTTTACTGCAAGAAAACCTAAAATAATGCATTCATAAATATCATCTGTAAGATATTACAGTGTTACAATGGAGTGTTGTTTGTCATTAGACTTGACACTTTGTCTTTGGTGTAGAGTGGAACCTAATTAGACTTGACACTTTGGTTTCTGTGTGTAGTGGAACCTTAATTATTAGTCTGAACACTTTGTCTTCTGTGTATAGTAGAACCTAATTAGTTTCTGTGTATAGTGGAACCTCGTTAGTCTGAACACTTTGTCTTCTCTGAACAGTAGAACCTTCAGTAGGAAAGTATTGAATACCTCGGTTACACATTTTCTAGATTTATGAAACCGCCATTGTTACTCACTTAAACATTACTAAAATAAATCATCAAAAAAGATGTATTTTAAATTGATAAATGGTGCATAATCCCTGATAAGTACAGCTAATATTGGACAGAGAGGAATCATATTATTCGGTAATTCCATGCACTTAGTCATAAAATGTCACTGAGGAATAATGAGGTTTAATGCTTGAAAAATGAACCTTAAATTATTCTTCAAAGTCTTTATCTTAATATTAGCACTTTTTCAAACTGATCAACGATTAGAGTTGGTTCAGTCCCTAATCAGAGGTCGATTGAACTATTTGTATTGTGTCAATATTTGATGTTGCTTGCTTGACAGAACGATGACCCCAGAGGCTTGCAGACAGCTGCCGATGGTTTCACTACTGGTGTTTACGTCCCGTTGTGTGGACGAGGAGTGTGGGACATATGGCCTATGTCAGGAGTATATCAGTGACCTCCATGTTTTCAGTGCCTGCTCATGCTATGCTGGTGAGTTATCCCCCCTGTCTCCTCGGAATGATGATACCTCTGGTAGGGTTTTAGTTCAGATTTGCTGAAACTTGATGTCCTAGCTAAAACAGATTGTATATAAGTACATTTTAGCAGACAATTCATGCAATCTTAAAAGTAACTAAGAGTTTAATGTAAGTACTAATGTATATAGATCTATATATAAGTTTGTTGTATTTGTAGTTTGAAAAAAAGTTATAAATATATACCTATTAAAGATTCAATTGATAATTGCAATTTTTCACATGTATATATATATTCATATTCTGTTTGTATATTCATCTCTTTTATTATACTTGCCTTTTGTGCCCAGGTTACCGTGGCTATGGCTGTACCGATGGTACTGAGGCAGAGACAGACACGATGCTGCTGGTGACAGCCCTCCTGCTAACCCTCAGTAATCTCTTCTTCATCCCCAGTATCTTTGTAGCCATCCATCGACGCCTGTTTGTTGAAGCCCTCGTCTATTTTTTCACCATGTTCTTTTCTACTGTGAGTATAATCATACGTTGAAAAGTTTTTTTTCTGTCGGTCACTCTACTGCAAGTAATATCAAGAAAAATGGTTAAATCAATTTTCTTTAGACATTTTGAAATGACTTAGTGGGTATTGTAAAAATTGTAAAAATTGTGAAGATTGGTTGGACATACTTTTAAAATCTAAAAAATGCTTCCGGTGGTAGAAAGCACTTCATTGAATGAATGTGTTTGATTATCTACCATGGCTGTACTGGTCTTACTAGTAAATGATATCAGACCAACTTTGGTTAGACTAAAGGCGTAATGTGTCGTAAGCTAAGGTTCTGTATCAACGGCATAATGTACAGTGAATAAGGGTTCAACCACTGATTTTATTTTCTAACTTCTCTCCTCTTTATTATCGGGGTTGTCTGCCTAGGCACCCGTCTTCATACGACCTTGGCTGTTTTGAGGACGTTAAATCCAAGGAAAACAAGCAAACAAACAATCAACCACTGGATTCACACTTGGCACATCAAAGTGGTCATGCATTACTTCTACATACATCAAAATGATCACCAACAGTTCCAGGATGGTGTCAACCAAATAACTGCTCATTTTCACTGTTTCTATTTATCTCTGAAGTCGGGTTATGAATATAAATTAATGAGTTAAAATCTACTGGCATGGATTGTATCAGATTTCAAATTCCAAAAATAGACATAGTGGCCGGAGTGTCTTTGGTTCAGCCACCATTGTTACCAACAAAAGTTGCTACATTACGGGACAGCTGCATCATTGGGATAAGATATATACCGGTCCTCTTAAACACTGGCTAGATAGTAGAAAAATGTTTTCTAATTTTACCATGCTAGGACCTATTTTCCAGTTTTACCAAGCCTGTAACCTATTTTCCAGTTTTACCAAGCCTGTGATATATTTTCCAGATTTACCAAGCAACCAGTGATATATTTTCCAGTTTTACCAAGCCTGTAACCTATTTTCCAGTTTTACCAAGCCTGTGATGTATTTTCCAGTTTTCCCAAGCCTGTGATATATTTTCCAGATTTACCAAGCAGCCAGTGATCTATTTTCCAGTTTTACCATGCCTGTGATCTATTTTCCAGTTTTACCATGCCAGTGATATATTTTCCAGTTTTACCAAGCCTGTAACCTATTTTCCAGTTTTACCAAGCCTGTGATATATTTTCCAGTTTTACCAAGGAGCCAGTGATATATTTTCCAGTTTTACCAAGTCTGTGATATATTTTCCAGTTTTACCAAGTCTGTGATATATTTTCCAGTTTTACCAAGTCTGTGATATATTTTCCAGTTTTACCAAGGAGCCAGTGATATATTTTCCAGTTTTACCATGCCTGTGGTCTATTTTCCATTTCCAGTTTTACCAAGCCTGTGATACATTTTCCAGATTTACCAAGCAGCCAGTGATCTATTTTCCAGTTTTCCCATGCCTGTGATCTATTTCCCAGATTTACCAAGCCTGTGACCTATTTTCTAGTTTTACCAAGCCTGTGATATATTCTCCAGTTTTACCAAGCCTGTGATATACTTTCCAGTTTTACCAAGCCTGTGATACATTTTCCAGATTTACCAAGCAGCCAGTGATATATTTTCCAGTTTTACCATGCCTGTTTACATTTCAAACTTAAAGTCAAGTTCTGCTAGACCGATTGAACTGAAAGTTGGTAGGAATGATCGCCACATGGTCCTGACAAAGTGTTGTTATTTTTTGGGTCGATCAGAAATCCAATATGGCCAACACGGCTGACATTTTGAAAAACTATTTCAAACTTAAAGTCAAGTTCTGTTAGGCCGATTGAACTGAAAGTTTGTAGGATGATCAGCTCATGGTCCTGACAAAGTGTTGTTATTTTTTGGGTCGATCAGAAATCCAATATGGCCAACACGGCTGCCATTTTGAAAAACTATTTCAAACTTAAAGTCAAGTTCTGCTGGACCGATTGAACTGAAAGTTGGTAGGAATGATCGCCTCATGGTCCTGACAAAGTGTTGTTATTTTTTGGGTCGATCAGAAATCCAATATGGCCAACACGGCTGCCATTTTGAAAAACTATTTCAAACTTAAAGTAAAGTTCTACTTGGCCGATTGAACTGAAACTTTGTAGGAATGATCGAATCATGGTCCTGACAAAGTGTGTTTTTTTTTCGGGTCAATCAGAAATACAATTTGGCAGTGATATATTTTCCAGTTTTACCATGCCCGTGATCTATTTTCCAGTTTTACCATGCCAGTGATATATTTTCCAGTTTTACCATGCCTGTGATCTATTTTCCTGTTTTACCACGCCTGGGATCTATTTTCCAGTTTTACCATGCCAGTGATATATTTTCCAGTTTTACCATGCCTGTGATGTATTTTCCAGATTTACCAAGCCTGTGACTTATTTTCCAGTTTTTCCAAGCCTGTGATCTATTTTCCAGATTACATGCCTGTGATCTATTTTCTAGATTTACCAAGCCTGTGACCTATTTTTAGGTCACCTGAGCTTTAGCTCAAGTGACCTATTGCTATCCGTTTTCGTCCGTCGTCGTCCGTCGTCTGTCGTCCGTCGTCCGTTAACGTTTTACATTTCAAACTTAAAGTCAAGTTCTGCTAGACCGATTGAACTGAAAGTTGGTAGGAATGATCGCCACATGGTCCTGACAAAGTGTTGTTATTTTTCGGGTCGATCAGAAATCCAATATGGCCAACACGGCTGACATTTTGAAAAACTATTTCAAACTTAAAGTAAAGTTCTACTTGGCCGATTGAACTGAAACTTTGTAGGAATGATCGAATCATGGTCCTGACAAAGTGTGTTTTTTTTTCGGGTCAATCAGAAATACAATTTGGCAGTGATATATTTTCCAGTTTTACCATGCCTGTGGTCTATTTTCAAGTTTTACCAAGCAGCCTATGGTCTATTTTCAAGTTTTACCAAGCAGCCTATGGTCTATTTTCAAGTTTTACCAAGCCTGTGATATATTCTCCAGTTTTACCAAGCCTGTGATATTTTTTCCAGTTTTACCAAGCCTGTAACCTATTTTCCAGTTTTACCGAGCCTGTGATATATTTTCCAGTTTTTCCAAGCCTGTGATCTATTTTCCAGATTTACTAAGCCTGTGATCTATTTTCCAGATTTACGAAGCCTGTGACATATTTCCAAGTTTTACAAAGCCTGTGATATATTTTCCAGTTTCACCAAGCCTGTGATCTATTTTCCAGATTTACGAAGCCTGTGACATATTTCCAAGTTTTACAAAGCCTGTGATATATTTTCCAGTTTTTCCAAGCCTGTGATCTATTTTCCAGATTACATGCCTGTGATCTATTTTCTAGATTTACCAAGCCTGTGACCTATTTTCCAGTTCTACCAAGCCTGTGATATATTTTCCAGTTTTACCAAGCAGCCAGTGATCTATTTTCCAGTTTTACCATGCCTGTGGTCTATTTTCCAGTTTTACCAAGCCTGTGATATATTTTCCAGTTTTACCAAGCAGCCTGCGATCTATTTTCCAGTTTTACCATGCCTGTGATCTATTTTCCAGTTTTACCATGCCTGTGATCTATTTTCCAGTTTTACCAAGCAGCCTATGGTCTATTTTCCAGTTTTACCAAGCAGCCTATGGTCTATTTTCCAGTTTTACCATGCCTGTGATCTATTTTCCAGTTTTACCATGCCTGTGATCTATTTTCCAGTTTTACCAAGCCTGTGATCTATTTTCCAGTTTTACCATGCCTGCGATACAAAAGACGTGACCCACTACTACTGTATGATGAAGTATGATGTTCTGAGTTACTGCGACTTCCTCGGCTCCATCATGTCCTTCTGGGTGACGATCCTGGCCATGGCCCGCCTTTCCTCACCGGTCCGCTCGTTTTTCCACATGCTGGGTGCCTTGTGCCTTGCCTTAGGCGTGGAGTATGACCGACACGGCCTCTGGGTGTTTGTTGTACCAGCAGCCTTCGGCATTATCATTATGTCTATATCATGGGTAAGCACTAAGCACTGTGGACAGTGTTTTTTTAATGTAATGCAGAAAATAGACTTTGGCATTATTCACACTTTAATGTTAATTTGAAAACATTTTATGTTTCAAAATAAGGCTGCAACTGGTGATAATTATAAAAAAATGTTCAAATATTTTGAACTTGTTGCTTTAACTCTAATGCTATTCTCTGTTCTCTTTGATTCAGATATTTTTTTCGTAATACAGATTATATTCAAATTTTGAGGTAATAGCAAATTTGCTAGATAGTGAGGCTTTTTAATGTGTAAAATATTGCTGAGAATGCACAGTTTTTGCTCTACTTTCTGGTATATCTAGTTGTGAAATTTATTTGACTGCAATACATATTAGAGTATGACCTTTTGACCAGACATGTTAATACTTTTTCACAGGTGCGACAGTGCTGTATACGGAAAAACTGCTATCCATCCAAGTGGCGCTATGTGAAATTCCTGTTGCCAGGAGTTCTGTTTGCTGGAACAGGGCTCGTAATTTTCGCCTTTTTAGAAACAGAGGAGAATTACAAATATACCCATAGTGCCTGGCATGTCGTCATGGCGCTGTGTATTGTGTTCCTGTTGCCAAGTCGACAAAAGTCTAAAGGTACGCCCATCACTATGCATGATCAATCGGACAATCGGCTTGACGAGGAGCTGGCCAATAACACGTTAAAACTAGAGTCCTATACCTCAGAAAATTAACAAACTAACTGTAAAAGTTTATTTTACTATGGAGTTGAACAATTTTGCTAAATCTATAGCTGTATGTGATGAAAAAAAATCACAGTTATTATACAATATACTGAAAAGAAAATTAAACCCCTCGACATATTTTTGGAAATACCCAATCTTAACATTTCTTTAATTTCTCAGCCATGCAATGTTGTTTTCTTAAACTAATGTGATTTCAGTTAGAGTAAAATTTGGAATGTATTGCTGTTTATTTTTCCAGTTTGATCCCTCCTAAAAATATGTTTACAACACATTAAATTGTTAACAGCAAGTAAAATAAATTCCTGAAGTATCTTTTTATCTAATCACCACATGCAGATTTGGCAAAAAATGTAAAAGTTCCACAGTGAAAACCTTTACAAGGACTAATGTAAATAGAGGGGAGGAGAAGACATGATATGAAGAATCCTTGGCCCCCACACATCTCATTTTTGTCCTACAAGTGGACTCTAAAATTATCCCCATCGTACCGGAAGATATGATGAAAAAGAATGACACATTTATGTCTTGTTATTATAGTTATGTCTGTGAGACATATTTGCTCAAATTGATTAATTTGGTTAATTTCTCGAAAATTTTCGAAGGTCTATAATATTTAAAAAAAAAAAAAGGAGAAGACTAATATAAACAGTCTGAATGTGAAGGATTCCTGAAAGTTGGTCCCTGTGAATGTGTTTTAAGTCTTCGCGCAAATCCGTCATATCTGTAAAATAGTTTATGAAATAAGAATGAATGTGATTAAATCAGGGGGCCAAAATACTCCATATCATGTGTATGCCTTTACGATTTAAGCATTAAATGTGATGTTAGTAAATTTAACCTGATATAAAGCATGCTAATGTGTTCATAAGATAATTATGATATTCTTACATTTTATACATGGAAGCATTAACACCCGTTTTAACATAGTCCCTCTGTATATGTCATTAACACACTGTTTAACATAGTCCCTCTGTATATGTCATTAACACACTGTTTAAGACAGTCCCACTGTGGTCTTAATTGCTATTAACATATGACAGAGCTTAACATTTTAATATTGAGTGCTTTATTTGAGGAAGATTTTATTTTATTATGTCGATAAAACAATTCCAATCTCCAAGTTTTTTTAAACAAATATGTATGTAAGTGAAACGGGCTATATAATTTACTTTTAACTTACCAGGGTACTGTAATCAATTTATCATATCTAATACCACATATAAACTGCTTTCATCATCAGTGTCAGTTTTAACAGAAATCAATTTAAGGCTATACCTGATATTGATAAACATAGGGGAGGGGGCTGGGAGACACTATTGATATTACTCTGTACACTGTATATGTATAGAGAGGGTCAAGGAGGCACTTTACAAAACTGGAATAGCTGGTGGAAAAGTTCACTATTTTCTTTGCTTTCTGTTATGTTTTTCATTTGCTTTATATTTTCTGTTATGTCTGCTATGTTTTTTTTTAATTATTTTCTATTGCTGTTGTAACTTGATGTCTGGTATATCACTAACATGTATGATATTAGCCCATATTTGCAAAACTTAACAAAATGTTAACCCTTTCAACACTGTAGACCATAATGGACTCATCAATATCAATGCATGGTAGAGTCTACTTAAGTTACATGGGGGTGAAAGGGATAATAGTATAAAAGTGTGAATTCTCGGATGTGGAAATGTTGGTGTTGTGACTCATTGAACCTATCACTGTGTGGAAATTCTTGTTGGCAATAGTTTTAAAATCCAAAATACATTCTATTTATCTATAATCTATTACATGTAACTCATTCACCCCAGCAGATACATTTGAACTCTTCCAATTCAAAAGTTGGAAAAGTTCATTATGAAATTTGAGGTGTGAATTAGTTGAGAAAAAAACATCAGTATTTCCACATGGCTATAATTACCACTATTACATTTTACAGATGTAATCAAGGGAATTTGTATTCTTTAACTGCAATATAGACTGTTGGGTTGGATATTACTGAAATTGGAGAGAAAGGAGTAACATTTGGGTTACAGTAGTTTAGAATTTCATTTGCATGAAAACCTTACTTAACTCATTACCCCCTGAAGACACATTTGAACTCTTCCAATTCAAAGGTAGGAATAGTTCATTATGAAATTTCAGGGATGAATGAGTTAAATAAAATGTAATACATGTAGTGTATGCAGTGTCCATTTTCGTCTTAATTCAAGGAAATAATTAATTATAGTTTTCTGATTGTGCAATATAACTTGTAATTAAGTTTTAACTGTGCATTGCTTTAATAGGGGGTGGGTCTCGTGCAGTATGAGAGTACGCTATCGCTATCAGGAAACTGAACTCCAGTACAGAACAATGTTACCTGTGTCGATTACATTGTGGTAATTTGCTGCATGTGTTAAGAAAATAAATGAAGGAATCATATGCAATATGTAAGGCTACTTTAAGTGAATGGAGTTGGGTGGTCGGGTGGTGCAGTGGATTGAATTCTCTGGGTACTCCGGTTTCCTCCCACATTGACTCATCGACCCCTGAAGACACATTTGAACCCTTCCAATTCAAAGGTTGGAATAGTTCATTATGAAATTTCAGGGGTGAATGCGTTAAGACCCTGTGCATGCTAATGTCCGGGTCAACAAGACTGGTTGATACATCTTGTTCCATGAGACCTGTAAGATAGGATGGATGTTACAAACTTAAAAAGACTGGTAACATATCATGTAAACATCTTTTGTGCTTTTATATGAATAATGTGAAAAGTGAAGTTGTGCATTATTGAGGATAAAGCTAGGGATGGGATGTATTTTTTGGGCTTGTATAATGTCTATGGCTTATTGAGTAATGTGTATGAGGGAGAATGCATCTTTTTTTCTGCATTTGTGTTGCTTTTTAGCTCTTCTTTGTTCTTTTTCTTAGTTCAATATTCAGTTTTAGAATTTTCTGCTTTTAGATTTACTTTTTCCATGTCATATAGATGAAATTGTCCATGTCATATTGATGAAAACTTCCATGCAATGTCAAAGATATGCTCTGATATGGTGTATCTATATTTGAATCTAAATCCAAGGTTTTGTTGAGTTTAGTTTTATTACTACACAACATTTCTAAATATAGATAAGTTATGACTGCCATAATGGATTCAAAATGAGGCTGACTAATGGTTTCAGAATGAGGCTAATCGAACAGTTTCACAATGAGGCTGATCGATCATTTTCACAATGAGGCTGACCTGATGGTTTCAGAACGAGCCTGACCTAATGGTTTCAACTTTATGCTTATCTAACCATCAGAGTATATGAGGAAATCAGTTGACAGAAATGTACATGAAACCTGAATATCTGGTTTTATTACCCAGCATTTCCAACACTTTACAGATATATTTTAAATCTTTAAAGGTGAAAAAAACCTTCTGATGGTTCAGATATAGAATACAATGGATCTTGTACCTGAACAAATTAATATTTATAACCAATGCCAGCAGCAATTTTGTCAGTCACATGTTATTCTCTGTCAGGATAAATTTACCAAAAAGACAAAAGTTAAACTTCGCCAAAATTTCCTCGTATACAGCAACTAGTGAAGGATTCTGTCAGGGTTTAGCAAGAAATATAAGGAGATATAACTGCTTTTTTTGGACAGATCAAGAGGAAATATGAAAAGTCAGCAGTTCTGATCATGCAAGTTAACCAAAGAAGTTTAAAGTAGTCTGTGATTCTGGTCAGATTAACAAGATGTATTATTAAACTAATAAGTAATTCTGGCCCAAATTAACTAAAGATGTATAACTTGTCTTGCAAGTTGCAACATACATCTTAACGATGAACTTGTATCATAAGACTCCTCATTTTATTTGCCCCCGAAGTACTGCCAACATTTCCCAAACTCCTGTTTTTCTTGATAATTCCGTTATCTGTCTCCCTCAATATACATGTACTGCCAAACCTATTGATAATGCCAAAAATATCACTGGGGTAATAGTGGCAGTATAACAAATGTTGACTGTATGTTGATCTCAATCTAATTTTCCAGATGATAGTTTGGAGCTTATAGATACTGACTTGAATGGATCACCTTCAGTCCAGGAATCTTTGTGTCCGGAGTAATGATGAGAAAGGCATGTGATTCGAACTTAGATGTTAACACACACATTTCTCTAGAAAAAACTTTATTGACATTTTTTTTCAAGATTTTGAGCAAATTTTAAATAGAACTGTCCTAATAATATAGGATGTGGTGTTCGAAATAGATGTGTGAGCTGATAAAGCTTCATTTTGATGTGTGTTTGAATTCACAGGTAGATATGTATGCCAATTAGAATACAAGTGGTACCTTCATTTTTAGCTCACCTGCCCGAAGGGCAAGTGAGCTTATGTTATGGTGCGGCGTCCGTCGTCCGTCGTCCGTCTGTCCGGCGTCAACTTTTTACTTTGAACAATTTCTTCTCAATAACCAAAAGGCCCAGGGTACTGATATTAGGCCTGTAGCATGCTGGGATGAAGGGCTACAAAGTTTGTTCAAATAAATGACCTTGACCCACTTTCAAGGTCACAGGGGTCATATATGTTAAAATCTTCAAACAACTTCTTCTCAATAACCGAAAGGCCCAGGGTACTGATATTAGGCCTGTAGCATGCTGGGATGAAGGGCTAC